GGCGGCGGCTCCGGGCGCGGCTCCCCCGGCGCGGGCAGCGCAGCCGGCACCGCGCGGCTCCCACTGACGTGGAGACACGCGCACCCCAACGCGCTGCCTGGTTACTGCGCCAACGGGCAGCCCGCGGGGCCAACCGGCGCGCGGCTCGGCGGGCCGCCCGCTGAGCCGCCCAATGGAATCGCGAAGCCGCGGCGGGCAAGGCGGGCCCTCCACTGACAAGCGGAAGCGAGCCAATGGCAGGGCAGAGGGTAGAAGCCGCAGGCCAATAGCCCGGAAGCTGCGGGGCACAGCAAGGATGGTTGAGCGGCAGCAGCGGGAGCGGCGCGTTGCCGCCGCGCGGCATTGTGGGTCCGCCCGGCCGTCGCGCGGGGCTCGGGGGCGGCGGGAGCGTCCCGGGGGCGGCCGCGCTGCGCGCACCGGGCCGCGCGGGACCGGACCGGATTGAACCGGACCGGACCGGACCGGACCCGACGGGACCGGCAGCGCCTGGGCCTCGCGGAGCGTCCCGCCCCGTCCCGGAGCGTCGCCACTGACCCCGTCCCGCAGCCCCGCGCAGCGTGCGGCACGGAGCTGGGTCTGCCCCGCAGCCCTGGACACGGGATCACAGAATCGCTGGGGCTGGAAGGGCCTCCCGCACCCCAGGGCGCRGGGTGGGACACGGGGACAGGGCCGTCCCTCTTCCGTTTACTCCTCACTCAATGCCCCGGTTCTCTTGCGCGGCACACTACAATGACAAACATCAGGGGAGCGCGATCTGTACAAATTCTGCAGGTTCCTGCCATCGGATCACAAAAGCTGGGCTTTACCCTCGCCACAAGGATGCAGCCTTTGAGCAAAGCGTCTGCCTTGGGCCTTCCTCCTCAGCAAACGAGAGGATACAGAAAGGCTGCAAACTCCCCGGCAATTGTCTGCGCAAGGGGGACGGCGGGACTGAGAATTTAACAAATATTTGTTGCCAGCCAGCTCAGCCTCTGCAGTCTGCACTGATGGATAGGACCAGCTTTGYGCCATCCATTACCTCTGCTCGGCCCCTGCTTCTTCAGAGTCATACACAGAGCCCAAATACCAAACCGTGGGCACAGGCACTACAAAAATAGCCCGGCAGATGAAATAGCCTGAGACAGATTGAAAATCCATCCCTTCTCTCGGAAGCGCTTGCCATTTCCCTGAGATTTAACAGGTCTCCAGAGAAAAGGCAGAACCAGTGATGCGACTTAGCAGGTACAAGCAGTGGTTGTGCCCAGGGGCCACGTGAAGCCGCTCAGAGCTGGGCATTGCCAAAGCGCTCCYGAGCAGATCCGCGCTGCTTCGGAGCGGCTGCTGCTTTCCGGAGCCAGCGCGGGTAGCGGCGAGCCCCGACACAGCGGAAGGCTCTGCAAATGAAAAGTGRTGCTCTGCATCTCGCTCCAACGGGGGCCAGAAGCTGGAAGTGAAGCAAGAGAGCTAAGCTGAGGCTCTCAGGGATGTATATAAGGTGCTCCCCTGGGAATTAGCAAAGCACCTTGCTGAAGCTATGGAGCAGCTGTTCCYGTTAAGTCGTGTCCCAGGATCTCTGCGTGTGTGGGTGACGTGGCGCTCTCCCGATGCGCATCCCTCGTAATGGTTTCCATTGTCGCTACGCGGCCAGGAGACACCATGCCTTCCTGGCAGGAGCGACGTGGCCGCAGTTCGTCACGTCTTCGTCATCTCTTGGCTGGCTTGCGGCTACRTGATCCACCTGGGCACGAAGCCCACGGCACTTGGCAAGTGCCAGCCGGGGGAGCGAGCTGCGCTAGGAGCCCTGGCGACCACAAAGGCATTAGCTCTGCCCTCTGTTCTGCGCCCGCAGCCGCCTACCCCGCTAAGCCAAGGAAAATTCAAGCCTTAGTCCTGATCTTCAAGGCATTTGATGGCATGGGCCCAGCGTGGCTAAAAGATCAGGTAGCGCATGAAGATAGAAACCATGACCAACGCGCCTCGCTCCAGGAGCACTGGACACACTGCTGCCTGCCACAGTGATGAGGCTCCCTCCGAGAACAAGCTCTTCCCGGATAGTGGGGAAAAAGTATTTCTGAGATGCTGAGTAATTCCCCCCCTTTGCATATCCATCTCTGCCAAGATGCGAGTTGGGCTTGCTCGAAGTTTAGTTTGCTTTTGTTTTGTTTTGTTTTGTTTTTTTTCTTTATAAATTAGCACCATCTGTCTCCTGGACCCAGGTGAAGTTCTTGGTCTCTTCGCCAGCAGTGAGTTCTCCAGCCGTCAAGATGAGCTACAACTAAGACATCTTGGCACCGACCAGCAAGAGCTGCTACTTATTTCAACAGCAAGTGCTCAAGAGACCATCATGGGGACAGCCCAGCAATTACAGGGAGGTTTCCTAGTTAAAAACTCTTAGTTTGGGTCCCTGGATTGTGCTGACTAATCCATCATTCTTCATACTGCTCTGCACAGAGTACAAGCTTGTGACGTAGTGTTGGCTCAAATTTCTGTAAAAAGCTGCGGCAAATATGGTTATCATGTATGCTTTAAAGTAACGTTGATGGCCAAAGGGTTGGAGAGGAGCGAGGGCAGTTCAAAATGTGGCCCCATCTGTGTTTCAGCCCTTGGGCAGGGATTTCAGCTGCCCCGTGGCCAGACTGCGCCCCAGCGAGTGCGAGTGCTGCCGTATCCTGTCTGCTTCGTGTGATGGAGACAAGTTTACGCAGAGACAGGTTACAAACTGCGATGGAAAAAGACGTGGTGCAGTTTGTTGTCATTTTTGGCAGGCCAAAAGCAATGAAGCAAACACGAACCTCGGATTAGGAAAACACGGCAATTTCTCAAGAGCATGTCAGCATTGTGACTCTCTAAACTCTCCACACTTCTATTGAATTAACATGTTTATGCACGGTTTTGAACTGTAATCCATAATGCTTATGTCCACTTAACCTCTCTTTACATCCTGTGCTATTTCACATGCATTTGTCTTCCCGTACATACCCACATGCCAGTGCGTTATGCATTTAGCAGGCTCCCGAAACACAGTCCATAAATCACCCGGGGTTAAAACCTGGGGTTAAAATTCACTCCTATTCTCACAACACTATTTCCTAATCTCTAAAACGTGTCAGTGGAAGAGCTCGAGGGCGACCTTTGGCATCATAAATCGGCGAGCAGGTCAGCATGGAAGTGACCCCGGGAAAGCTTGGCTGCAGCGTGGCGCATCCCGCCCCGGAGGCGCCCGCCGACGGAGCGCTCCCCGGGGCGCGGGCATCCCGGGTCAGCACAAAGGCTTGGCCCCGCTCTGCACACCAAATCCTGGGATATTGCAGGACATGGGGCTTGATCTAAAGGGATGCCGCATTTTGGGACATTTCAGGGAACGACTGGACCCTGCGTCGCTGCCCTGAATGGATGTTTTCCCATGAATTTGGTTGGAAACAGGCTGCGTCCTGAAGCACAGGTAGCACTGGGGAGCCGAGTGCTTCCTGCGCAGCAGGTAACCAGCTGCCTTGTCCTGGGAAAGGCGACATGGATCACCAGGGAAGTGCAGCCCGGCACGGCCTAGACGCGGTGGGGACTTGCAGAGAACGGTGTGCAATGGCACTGGTAACCACAGTATGGTCCGGCCCGGTGCAGCCCGGCCCAACATGGCCCAGTGCTGCCCAATATGGCCCGGTGCTGTCCAATACAGCCCAGAGCTCCCCAGCACAGCCCAGCATGGCCTGGTGCAGCCCGATACGTCCTGGTGCAGCCCAGCACAGCCCAGCCTGGCCCGGTGCTGCCCAGCCCGGCCTGGTGCTGCCCTATACAGCCCGGCCCTGTACTGCCCTAGACAGCCCGGTCCCGTGGCGCCCAGCCCGGCCCGGTTCTGCCCTAGACAGCCTGGCCCGGTGCTGCCCAGCCCGGCCCGGTACTGCCCTATACAGCTTGGTCCTGTGCTGCCCAGCCCGGCCCGGTACTGCCCTATACAGCTTGGTCCTGTGCTGCCCAGCCCGGCCCGGTACTGCCCTAGACAGCCCGGTCCCGTGCTGCCCAGCCCGGCCCGGTGCTGCCCTAGACAGCCTGGCCCGGTGCTGCCCTAGTCAGCCCGGCCCGGTACTGCCCTAGACAGCCCGGTCCCGTGGCGCCCAGCCCGGCCCGGTGCTGCCCTAGACAGCCCGGCCCGGTTCTGCCCTAGACAGCCTGGTCCGGTGCTGCCCAGCTCGGCCCGGTTCTGCCCTNCCGGCCCGGTGCTGCCCTAGACAGCCCGGCCCGGTTCTGCCCTAGACAGCCTGGTCCGGTGCTGCCCAGCTCGGCCCGGTTCTGCCCTAGACAGCCCGGTCCGGTGCTGCCCAGCCCGGCCCGGTGCTGCCCACCCCGGCCCGGTGCTGCCCACCCCGGCCGGGTGCTGCCCTAGACAGCCCGGTCCCGTGCTACCCAGCCCGGCCCGGTGCTGCCCTAGACAGCCCGGTCCCGTGCTACCCAGCCCGGCCCGGTGCTGCCCTAGACAGCCCGGTCCGGTGCTGCCCAGCCCGGCCCGGTTCTGCCCTAGACAGCCCGGTCCGGTGCTGCCCAGCCCGGCCCGGTGCTGCCCACCCCGGCCCGGTGCTGCCCTAGACAGCCCGGTCCCGTGCTGCCCAGCCCGGCCCGGTGCTGCCCTAGACAGCCCGGTCCGGTGCTGCCCAGC